GATACTGCCTTGGAAACCCAAGGAGGGGTCGCTATGAGTTGGGTCCGACTTAATGGCACATAACAACAACAACAGGTGGTTGGTCGTGCAATGGTTAAGTGCTTGGCTGCTAACCAAAAGTGTAGTGCTTTGAACCCACCTAGCAGCTCCACAGGAGATAGACCTGATGATCTGTTTCCATAAACATGACAGCCGAGAAGACCACACACACACACACACACATATACATACATACATACATATGTAGATATGTATACATGTAAATAGGCAGTCCTGCCTCCCAGGTTCCATGATCTTCAGCAGGACCAAGCAGAACAATGCTGCACCCCCACCTCCTCCTTCAGGATGGCGCCAGATCCTGCAGGTGAAGCCCCAGTGGATCATGGGGTCTTCACAGGGTGTAGCATTGATTCTGACTCTTGGTGAAAACATCTGTGTCAGGGTAGAACTGTGCTCTCCATGTATTTTCCAGTGACTGTGATCTTTCAGAAGCAGATAACCAGGACTTTCTACTGAGGCACCTCTGATGGACTCGAACAACTAACCTTTCAGTTAGTGGCTAAACACCATCCAGTGACTTTGAGGGTGGTGAGGAAGGATGGGAAGAAGGACTAAGATTCCTGTTAGGTAAATTCTGCCTGGACCTAGGTGAGAGAAGAAAGGACCCCTCCAAGAAATAAGATCTAGAGCAGAACTAAGACTTCTAGCAGGGATGTCTTTGGGAATTCCTTGTTATAAAAACTACCATTTTTGGGAAATGTTTCAAAGAGAAACAGGTAAAGGAGAAGGAGGCCTAAGGACTGTGAAGTCATTTAAGGAGAAGGAAAGGGACAGAAGGCAAGGTGGTAAGGTACAGACACCCATTTGCCCCACTGCCAAGGGGGGAAAGGTACCACTGTCCAGCTCAGGCAAGCAGCCCTGCATGGTGGTGCCTGAGGGCAACCATACTCACCTGTGAGTCCCAGCAGCAGAGGCAGCAGCAAGGAAGGCAGAGACAGGCAGGGCTGGGCGGCAGAGGTGGGCATCCTCGTGGTCCCTGGAGCCTGCTCCGGGCCACTGTTGTCCTGAGGAGGCCCTGGACTCAGCTCTGTGGAGAGAGATGCAACCTATTCTCCTGTCATGTCAGAGGAAGTGATTGTAATAGGAGGAAAGGGCAGTGAGATTCTGGCATTTCCTGCTACTAGATTGTGAAATAGGAACAAGATTAAATGTAAGAAGTTACTGAGAGAAGTGTTCCAAAGAGAGGTCTTGGTCAACTCCTTCAGTGCCCAGGCTCTGTGTCCTGGGTCCTACATGTCATCTCAAGCAGGCTGGTGGCCCTTTCTCATCTAAGAGCCCTGAGGACATGGGCTGGGTGAAAGTTGCTACTCCAGGACTTTGCCACGGTGGAGGGTGTGTTCACTGGGCTCAGGTGAACTGCACAGCTAGAGAGGGGAGGAGAACCACACAGGCCCAGCACTGCATTTAATGGACGTCTCGGGGGATGAAGGTCCTATTTTGCCTACTCCAGTAGTGGTGTCAATTGTTACAATGAGCCTGAGTCAGTGTCTAACTGAGGCCTCTGTATTTGCAACCAGTCCCTGTCTACAGTACAGGGAGTTTCTCCTTTCTCTTTCCTACAGCAGAAGTAGGTTGGTGGACCAAGAAATAAGGACCTGGGAGGAGGTTGTGGTTTCTGTTTTAGAGGATGAAAGAAGGGGGATCATTTTGCAGGGAGGGAAACACACCTAGAAACACAGCTAGGAGGCAGGGTACTTCTGTCTGCCCCCCAGTCTGGGGCCAGTTCTGGGGAGACTGGATGGCGAGAGAAGTGCTCTGATCAAGAATGTGGCCCTGCTTCCCATTTCTGAACAACAGTGACCAGCACACATCACGGTGTCCGGAGTCTCTCAGCCCTGAGCTCTTCCCTTCTGTGGGCCTAATGCCAGGCACTGCTGTCGGTGACAGTTTCTTCTCTGCTCCAGTTCTCTGCCCCCTTTCTAGAAGCTAACTCTATGTTTGTGATGAGAAGGGATAAAACCAAAGGGGAAGTCAGAGACATGACAAGTTTTTCTCAGCCCTTGACACCTGCTGTTTTAGCTTTTTTTTTTTTTCTTTCCCTTGAGCTAGTTTCCATGCAGGGGCTTTGACAATTTGCTGACTACATGTTCCCTGTAGCATCCATCATCTCGACTCCAGTCCCTAATTCAATGGATGACAGATTGCATTCCAGAAATGACCACAATGATATCCCTATCCCACATGCTCTTTGACACCCCTTCCATGCAAGTGTGGGTGTCTAACTCCTTCTCCTGAGTCTTGGCAGGCTGTGACTGTGCCTGAAGTGATGCTCCATGACCCTTAGGCTAGACCATACAGATTCTGGATTTCCACCTTGCCCTTTTGAGACGCTCACTTTTGGAATCTAGCCACCACATGATAAGGAATCCAAACTTGCCCACACAGAGAGATTACATAGCAAAGACACACACAGGAGTTCTACCCCACAGGTCAGCTAATATACAGCCGATGGCCAGAATCCATCACCATATAAATAGAGAGGCCTCCAGAGGACTCTAGCCATCAGCAGTCAAGTCACCTCCAGCTGAATCTTCCCAGCTGAGGTCCCAGACAACAAGCAGCAGGGACAAGCCATTCTTGTTCTGCCCAGTCTGAGTTCCTGACTCACGCTATCAGTGAACATAATAAAATGGTCAGTTTGGCCCCTATACAGACTCTGAAAACACACCTGAGCTGCAGGACTTGGTACTTGGACAAGAGGGAGAAGAGTGGAACACATGAGAACTTAGACCTGAAGGTGTAAGATTCAGGTCCCCTTGTCTTCCCTTCTAAGGAGGTGGGATGAGCCCTTGGTTCTCCTGTTGGGCTGCTCTGGGCCTTGTCTCTGAGCCCTCTGCCTGTGGTGTGAAGAGGAGGGTGGGAAGCAGACAGTCACAAAGGGAGGCTTATAAAACTCCCTGTGCTGTATTTCTCCTTCCTGCATCTAAGCTCTCTGGGGAGGAAGGCTGCAGCAGAGATTGAAGTTCACACAGCACAGAGAAGCGAGTTGCTGTGGGGAAGCTGGTTCATCCCTCCATTCACTCACTCAATGTTTGCTTCCCAAGTGTCTGCACTTATACTCAACATGGGGGGCAGAAGGAATGGATAGTCCGCTCTGTGATGACAGACACAGCCTGCTCCTGGGACTTAACCCCCTCTGATGACCCTAGGACAACTTCTGCAAATTCTATATCAAGTCCTATTTTCCTCATTAATTCACATGACATGGAACTTCTCAGAGGGTATCAGGAGACTTGTGGGGAAGTCAGGTCCCTGGGTGGTGCAAATGGTTTCTACTCAGCTACCAACTGAAAGGATGGCAGTTTGAACCCACCTAGTGATACCATAGAATAAAGGCCTAGTGATCTGTTCCCGCAAAGACTACAGCCAAGAAAACCCTGTGGAGCAGTTTTAATTTGTAACACATGGGGTCACCATGAGTTGGAATCCACTCAAAGGTAACATATATATATTGTTGTTGTTGTTATGTGCCATCAAGTTGGACCTGACTCATAACGACCCCTCCTTGGGTTTCCGAGGCGGTAATAGATTGCCCAGCCTTCCTTCTGAGGAGTGGCTAGTGGGTTTGATTTTCTTTCATTATTTCCTTTACTCCTCAGCATGGTCATATGAGAGGGGTATTATTACCTCCATTTCGGTAAGAAAATTGAAGTTCAGAGATCTTAGGGTCTTTCCAGGGCACAAGGTAGTTAAGAGTCAAACCCACATCTGTCAAAGCTATGCTCATCCTTGTTGCCCCTCTAGATCAAGAAAGGACAGGTACTCAGGATACCCTGGGTACCCTCTGGGGACTAGGAGAGCAATGACACATCAGGGCACAGGAGTGTATGTCGACATTGGCTGTAAATAGAGTATAGACATCATGCCATGGGAAGAACTTCAAGACTGCCCTGCTCAGCACCAGGACCTGGGTTCAATCTGGAACTGAAAACAGATTCAAAGACCTCCTGGCAAGAAATCATTAAGGTCATTCAAGGAATCACAGGTCCCTGGCTTGGCTGGCATTCAAGCATTATCTAGGCCCCCCCACCCACCCACTCTCTGAAACCTACTTGTGAATAGATAAGACCTGAAGAGGATGTGCAGCGAATCATAAATAGGAGCTCTCTCTTGGGGGTTGAATTTGGTAGTCTTGATTCCTAATAGATATTTGGTTTCTAATAGATATTTATACAATTTTGGATTATTTATATGTGTGTGTGTGTGTGTGTGTATGTTTGTGTGTGTGTGTGTGCATGAGAGAGAGAGAAAGAAAGAGAGAGAGAGAGAGAGAGAGAGAGAGAACAGATTTTGCTTTTACAATGTAAAATGTTCTCTGAGAAATTGGTATCGAAATGAAGAGTATAATGTAAGCCTGGATGGCTTACTCTGCAGGTGACATGGAACAGGAAGTCCACTGGAGCAAGAAACACCTTGGCAGAGCTTGTGAGGGTATTATTGTAGACCTTGCTGTTCTTTACCTGGAGCACCTGGGTCCAGAGAGATGGGAGTTCCTCCCCATTTTTGAGCCACTTCAGAGTGATGTTACTGGGAAAGGAGTCATAGGACATGCAGCTGAAATTTACACTCTCTCCAATCAGGGCCCTCTCTGAGGGGCCAATTACTACAGGCAAGAGATGGTGGAGCTATAAGAAAGAACATTAATAAACAATTAGTGTTGGTGATTGAGACAGTATTCTATGTGTTTTATATAATTTTAATTCTGACAATACTATCATTAGGATTGGATAATGCCCATTTTATGGATAAAGATATGGAGGCTAGCCAAGGCAAGGAGCATACTAGCACTTGGCACAGCAAGACCAGGATGCAGGTCTCTGACCATGTTCTGTGCTCTTTCCTCAGGCCACATTGTTTCCTTGTTCAGGAGCCACATTCTTATGTCTCTCTCACTTTTAATATTGATTTCTCCTACTACCTATTCTCAACTAATAAAGTTTAAACAGCTTGGAATAGAAAGGAACTTTCTGAACTTGATATTTATCTACCAAACTCCTAAAACATCATCATCCTTAATGTGAAACTTTACAACAACACCCTTTAGAATCACCAACAATAGGATACCCACTCTCATTGTTTCTATTCAACAGTGTACTGGAGATCCCAGCCAATGCAATGAGACCAGAAAAAATAATGAATTAGATTAATTGGGAAGGAAGAAAAAGTGTAGTGTAAACTAACAGAAAATCCAAGTGAATTTGTCGAGTATAAGACTAATGCAACAAAAAACTCACATATACCTAAAGATCTATGGAACAGTGAAAAAAAGTGAGCCAGTCAACCTATGGTGATAAGGAATATGATCTTTTTATAGGGAAAATTTTCAAAAAGTGATTACTACATCTCATTACAAACAGAAAAAATCCAAAACAATTACATTCTTAAATTAAAAAAATTGATGAAAGCTATTAGAAAAAAAATGAAAGAGTAACTTTTGGACTTTGGGCTTGGAAAGAACTTTAAGATGCGATCCTAAAAATTATATATGCAGATAAGGGTTAGGATTACAGTACATATTTTAGATAGATACAATTCATTACATAACCAATGCTATTCTAGGCTTGTCCTATCTTTATATTTTTGGAACAAATAGCTTGTTTTGTAGTTTCACACTTCCGTAGATGGAGAAGAATTTTGTCCCACAATGGATCATACACAGAGTATCATCCATACATAATTTAGGCTATGAAATTTGGGATTTGAGCTGATGAGGAGATTTGGGACTTGGTTGTGACTTTTGGGGATGTTGCAATGGGATGAATGTATTTTCATGTGGGAGAGATGAAAATCTTTGGGGACCAGAAGGGGACTATAATAAGCTGAATAATGATTCCTCTACAATATGATCTCCTAATCCTTGTAATCTGTGAATATGTTATCTTACTTGGAAAAGAATGAAACACTGCTGGGTCCTGCACCATCCTTGCAATTGTTGCTGTGTTTGAGCTGACGGTTGCAGCCACAG